GAGCACTGATCAATGCACAACCTCAGCTGCCCCGGATTGGGGTCCGGACACCTGGCATACGGTGTGACCATCAATGTTAACTAGACGGACCCTGTTTATCACATCTCAACTAGTGTGGTTAGCTCAACGCCTTCTGTGATGACTCGATTGTACTGGTCATCCTCAAATCATTCACCCTAACAATTGTACTGGAACTGAGCTGGGTCAGTAGTAGAAAAAATTCAACTAAATTTCTGAAGGCAAGCGCCGCAAGAGTTAGAATGTCCAACTCACTTGCTGAAGTGCGATAGACGTTTGCAGCCCGTTCAATATCACTTTCTAAGGAGCACAGAAAACGTTTATACGGTTCCGCTAGACGTGCTATTTCTTCATTCAGGTTGCTGGTAGATGCCATCGCTTGTTGAGTCAGATTTGGTACTATGCCGTTTTCATTGTACGAAGATAAATTGAGCTGGTTCACACTGGAAGTTCGCTCCCGTAATTGTCTGCACCGATTTGTCATTGCTGTTTCCTGTAGACCCGCCAGTAAGGCTGAAAGTGCAGGAGCGCAGCCAGTGTCGTTTCCAATACATTGTCTCAGTTGGTTATTGAGCAATCCGAGGAGCTGGTCCGCACTGGTGCCCAACAGTCCGGCTAGCATAGCTACAGGGTTGGTTGTGCCCGTTCCGGAGTGATTCACTGGTCTTGTGCTGTGTAGATCTGCGTTATTGCGGGGCGGTGTACTGGCTGTTGGTGGATAACACCTTGTTACAGGCGAATCGATTCTGTTAGGACGATCATTTCTTTCCAACAAAGCGTCTTGTGTTTGTCCGACACAGCCATCCACAGAAGTGCCAACACCTGGTGGTTGATAGCCAGGCCCCCTCACTGCCTCATCCAGACTGACTTGCATGGGTGTTGTTTGTCCCGATCCCCTAAGACTGGTGAGTTCCGTCTGAGGTTCAACACTTGCTGACGGTCTGGGCGAACGGTTTGCAGGTAAAGTTGGTCGAGACAGTGAGGAGTTCGACTCAGTACTCCAATTGGGACGCTCCTGTTTGAGTTCTGCAGGTAGGCTGCTCGCACTGAAGACCAACTCGGGAAATTGATTGGCCAACAGACGAGTCAGTAGTTCTTGGGTTGCTGTGCCCATTCCAACTGCAAAGCAAGCAAAACAAGTGATTGGTAGCTAGCGTAATCCTCTAAAAGATCAACGAAAAATTAAACCTAGCACCCAGTTGCACACTAGCTTCAACAAGCTGGTCACCCTGAATTGGGTACTAGAAACAGCACTCCCTTCGCCAAACCATGGTTCGACAACGCAACACATGTTTCTGGTGTAGGACACATTCGTCAATGGAAGTCCCCACTGCGCAAAAGAAAACTCGCTTTTCAATTGCCTCGTTACGGATTCTTTGACACCAACCCACACGAGCTACGGTCCTGAGACAACGGTTTTCGAACACCTGAAGAAATATCATCTCGAACAGTTCAAGTCTCACAGTTGTACAACAAAACAGCCCGCACTGCAACCTGATACACGCGTTCATTGAGATTCAGAGATATACCACTGTGACGTAATAGGTGACTCAAATTAGCAAACGCGAACCGAGCCTTGCAGATTCGTGCATTACTCTCATCTGTCACGCTACAACCACAACTTCCATTATGCGTAGGGAGTTCCACAAGTTCGAGTACCTATCTTGGATTGCAAGTAGCGCGTTTGGCGTTTTGAAGACCGTTCAGCTTTCGTCTCATTACCCCATCGAACAAGAATTTAAAAATAAGAACGGAGAGGATGGGTACCCCTGACGGACACCGCTTTGTGTACGGAAGCTTTCGGAAAGCTTTCCCTACGCTCTCATACGATGTTCGAGGGACAGGACATCTGGGTTTCAAATATTTCTGAAAACTTCTGTTAAATCTGTACCAAGTTAATTTGTTGTAATTCGCTTTGATCAGTGAAGGTGTACGAAATCCACGAGATTGACGAAACCCATGTTCCTACCATATTTTAGGCGAAACAGTCATGCTTCGTAATTTAACCCAATTCAGTTTATCAGCTTTGAACCATGTAGGATATTTCTGTTTGAGTTGAGTCCCGGGGTCCCACAACTAGAATCTGAAAAACTAGCACTTGTGGAATCCCAAACCTTGCGAGATAACGTGATATCAATCTACACTCTTAGTAAATTTTGAACGGAAGATACTTCAGTGAAACGAAGATGCGTTGTACAAAAACGGCGGAGGACACAGACCAAGTTCACGGGAGACTCAAACTTATTCCATGAATGACCGACCCATGCAGTGTAAGACCGAATGAGCTTCAGATTCAATATGTGGGTCAGGATTAGTGAGTATGGTCAACAGAGGCTGCTGTGAGCAACTGTGTGGTGAAGAAAGTAGACTCATTTGGATACTTAAATGTTAGAGGGTCTATCAGTCATTCCTCGTTTTGCACTGCTACGTCTCCCAGTCTTTTTACCTACCCAAGCAGCATCACGCTAATGCGAGCTGGTGACTCAGGCAGCTTCGAACCAACACGGAGCGAAGGAATGCACTTTTATGTAACAGTTGATCCAAACGCTGTGTACAGAGCGTTCAAAAGAGTGTAACTGACGGCATTATGGGAACATTCTTATTAGAGCTCTAAAAGCTTAGGAAATAATAGGTTCCGACATCTGAAACACTTACCACGTTCGTTTGATTTGTCTGTCTTCAAAGCCGACAAAGCTGCCAAGTGTTGATTAATTTGTTGCAGTTGGTTCACTTGCGACGTTTGTTTAAACGGATCTACCGCTATGGATGTTAGGTCTTCGCTCAGCTGCGTTGTTCGCTCGCATTTGGTCCGTTGTAACAATGGGGTTTGCGTATTGTCCGGTCTGTTCAAACTGGGGTTGGTAGTAGTGACCTTGGATGCACCAACGCATCCAGTCAATTCCTCCACGTATCGAGCTACAGAGGCCAAGTTTTCCTCCAACATACGAGACTCGCGGCCAGACAGTACGTGGAAATTAGTGGCATGCGATGCGTCCCGCGTCTCACTACCGGTATTCAGGTTCATTTTCGATCGCATACATGTAGAAGTCATGTCCGGCGCGAAGTCCGGAGACCTCACAGATGTTGCTGATTGTACTGGATAGTCTGTGCGCTCAATTCTTTGTTCCACTTGATGGTGCTCGCTGAGAACACTCTGATCCAAACCAAGATCACTTGTATCACTTTCTAGATGAATCGGATTTTGGTGAGGCCAAGAAACGCTTGTTCGTTCGGTACTTTTCTGGTGAATTGTGAAGTTGCTGTTGTTACTCTGATCGACCAGCAGTGAAGCGAAACCGCTCGAATCGTGTGTGAGATCACCGAAGGTGCTGATATTAGGCAATTCTGTAACAGTTGTATGTTGGTTTGCTTGGTGGTATGCCGTTTGTGTGCCGGCTAGACATGGGCGCCCTACTCCGATTCTTGTCTCGGGGTTCTTTGTGTTCGCGGGTGAAACGTTGTAAGGCGAGCGCGTCTGGACGGAATCAACTAAAATTTCAAGTAAACAAATAGAATATTCAGGTAGGATATATAGCAATGATCCACATGTCCAGTAAACCTTAAACCATGTGTCAATTCAAGTGATACCCCCAACTTACCGTGCTAATTTACTCGCTCATCATGCTTTCGTAAAATTTAAAGCTTCCACCAGTGGGATGATGACTCATGATTTATCAGGGCTGGAGTACATGTCGCTATTTGTCCAGGTGTCAAAAAATCGCGTTTGCCACTTTTTTCTGGGGTTGCACTCTGCTGAGATTAGACGGTTACTATACCCTCCACCGTTCCATGCAATGTGTCTTTCTAAACCAGTTCAACCCCCGCCCCCTCCACACGTGCGCAAAACTGTCTAACCCAAATGGAGTTTTTTTTATCAAAGCGAAGTTTCCACAGTCAGGAATGAATAAACGCATGTGGTTGATGAACGAAATTCAACTAGTTGTGAGTCAAAAGTCCACTCACAACGAACGATTGAGGAGAACGCACATCTTAACTGAAAAACAACACAGTGATAGGGATGGGATCAAGCACAACGGGAGAATACTTTCATAAGGTGACAAACTGAGGAGCCGTCACACCAGGAATCAGTCTGTACGTGAGCACGTGACTTGGTTTCGGTGAATAAAGGATGAGTGCGAGTTGATCACAATGCTGATCGGCCAGAAGTTTGTGCCCCGACGGTTTGTCCAAATTACTAGTCGGTTGGTTACAGGGTTCGTGACTCTCTTTAGTTTGGGGAGATGCTGATGAAAACTGGGTGGTTCAGCATAGCTTCGCTTCACGCGCAGGACGAAAACTCAGTTGGTGATTTGGAACGTTTGTCGCGCAAATTACTGTGAAAGGAAGATGTTTGTCTTGGTCAGTCGCTGACGGCCCACCTTCTTCTGGGTCAAGCACTTGAAGGATTAGACAACCTACCATGCATATTCAGCATGTGGAACACTATTCTAAGCACGTTTGTTTTACTGTTCATTGGCTTCGAATACTGAGTCATTTATGTTCACTGATTTCTTTCGTTTTAAATGTTTTCGAGCCCGAGATGCAAATAAGGCTTCCAAAGAATGCAACTAGCAATGAGTGCTTTCTGGAGTTAAATGTCGGTGAGGATTTTGCGCTTTCTAGTGACCACATCGGTTCATCTAAAGTGTTTCCCACGTTTTGGATACCGTGGTCAAGCTCACCGTCAGCAAAAAGACTGAGCTATCCCATAACCAGGACTTACTCTAATGTCAAAGACCAACACTGTCAGAGCCTCTTTATTTTTTCTAGGGATTCGCAACCCCAATGGTTGAGAAAAACGGCGACTTTTCTAATAAGCTCTTGCATTGCCGATTCCTGCTTGCAACTGTTTGGGTTGGAGAGAGAAGTGGTCGAGTTATGTTCTTCCTTAAACCTATCCATGCTTCCAGCAGGAAAAACCCAGGCATCGGAGACCCTTCAGCTCAATCGAGGTTCATCGAGAATACGTACAGGGATCATCGTTAGACCGAGCGTAAGGACTGATGAACATTCAGCCAAAATCCGCGGTACCATATCACTAGTCGGCAGTTAGTTGAAACCAAAGTTCATGCTCACTTCGGATTCTCTAGGCATACAATTCCACCGGCTGGCACTGAATATCACGCAGAACGCCTTGAAACCGCTATCTAACTGTTCAACTGACTGTCCGGTCCATAATGACGGAAGGGCCAATGTGACCGTGCCTACTGGGATGCATATTCATGTTTATCAATATCATATATATACTCTAGGACTGCAAGGACTGCAAGGTGGTCCATAAGAAATGTCAGTTAGACATAATGCACTACCCATAAGGTTGCTGAAAATTGGTCGACAGCCCACAACCGGTTCCCCCCTTCTTGGTGCTCATCAGGTAGGCGCAGTCCCCGAGTCCCCGTCCAGCTCATGTTCTACTTGAACTCAAATTACAAGAAATTACCGAACTACCCTTATTTGTAAACCAATTTGTTTTTGCGGGAGACTCACATGGAACCCAGCTGAATCTTTCAGTTATGTTTCTAAGTCAGGTTCACACATCGTGTGATTAGCCCATCGGTCTCAGAAGCGGAAAATTGGAAAATTATGCGATGTTTTCTGGTATAAAACGTCCGAGTGGTACTCTAAGGAATAGGTCGAATCAAAGTCAGAACCACACAACAACAATGCCTAATATTCTCAATCCAATCAGTTAAAATAATACAAAGATTTAGTTTTCCTGAGTAGCCATTGACTATTCCATCCTGACCTCCCATATCCTCAGCTTATTCCTCCACGAGCTGACTCCACAGCGAACAGGCTCCGGTGTAACAGCTAAATCACGACAAAAGAATTGCAAATAACTACGTACCATGTAGCCATGTCACACTGCCATGACAAAGTCCCTAGAATCCAGTCTCCACTTCACTATCAAGTAGGAAAGTTTGAGCAGTCTTCGTCACGGAAAACAATTACGACAAATTTCTGAACGCTTTTTCCAGTGATGGGCGTGAACTGGTTGATCAAACAACTGCGGTGAGATCATGAATGCACGGATGGGTACGAAACCAAAATGAGCCTGAAAATTTATCCTCCTAACCAGAACCCAACGTCTGGACAATGTTAGCATAAACACCAAGCTGCCACACTCCTGCTCACTTGCTTGTATAACGGCTTGGTTGTCCTCAATAAGAACCTAAAAGAGCTATAGCGTAGAAAAATACCGCTTATTGTTGGACAGAAAACGTAGGTAGTCCATGGAAGGATAGATATGACGGTCAGGCTTATTTTCTGATGCCCAAACGTTTGACAGAACTCGCTCGGATAGGAATGGCAGACACTCTTGTCCTACATATTATTGAGGTCCCTAGAGCACCAACTCCCTTCTCCGTCCACAATAAAGCTATCAAATAAACCATATTAGTACGGTAGTGAAGCAGCACTGTTGAACGGTGATGTTATATCGTGGATGATAGCTTCGTTTTATTTTGAAAAAAAAAAGAACCAACTTGTGGTCGCATTGATGAAGAGCGCTCCATTGAGGTTAAGTACTTGATGGTTTTGACGCAACAAGTTATTGGTCTAACTAACCAAGTGCTTACATTCACTTACTCTTATCGACTAACAAAAGATGAGTTATGTGCTCCACTTCTATAGACAGCTGGTGTGGGGACGATGATGATGAAAACGATGACGTTGATAATGTTGATGAGACTACAAGATATTCTCAGCGTGTTCCTAAAATAACGCACGGTGGAAAAACACTCGGACAAAAGTTTTGGTTCTAAATTGACAGTGCAAATTGTGTTCACAAACAGCTTGTTTTCAAGAACCAACAGTCTTTATCTGAGTTTCAGCGCACAAAACGGTACAACACTGTGGAGATTGGTAATCTAGTCAGTTCCGATACTGGTAAGAGCTGAGAGAACTCCAGTGAAATTCGATTCCCGAAGGCCAATGTGATATACGAATCGTTCTTACGGTGCTAACCAACTCGTTCGGGTAATTACAAGTCAACCAAAGTAGGCTGTTTTGGAGATATTATCTTTATTCACAAGGGATCAATCCAATCTCAGAACAACTAACAAATTTGCGACCGTCTTGCCGTGACTATTGTTGCCAGATCAACGGGACAACAGAAAAATGGCATCAAAACTCCCGAGGAACGTGGCATTCATCCTAAGGAAAGCCTACCTCAATCTAAATAACCGAGTTCTCAGACTGGGAACACAGTACAACTCAGATTAATCGAATTAAGCTATAAGTAACAGATGTGCTTACCGGATGCAGTGGTCCGAATCAGTCCAGGTGTTTGCGAGGACACGTTACCATCATTAGTGTGCACGTGAAAGGGACTGGGATTTTGTCTCCTAGGTGTCGACCAGAAACAATTTGAGTCCATTGGAAAATTACTTATCGCAAACGTAGGAGACAAAACGATATAAGTAAAACTGGATTGTCGTTCAGTAAAATTTTAGACTGATCTGCTTGCGTCAGTCAGTGCACGTCTTCACCAGCTGACTGTGATGTTCGTCGGATATGTGTAGTTCGTCGGATGGGCCCGTTTTCTTCAGAGCAGCGTTCACCCACCAAACTGACCAATCGAATGCAAGTACAATCAAGCGATAAACTGAGCTCTGCTATGTCGGACCACCCCACCACGGGCGATGACACGTGCACCCCAAAGCGAACGTATTCGCTCAACCGCTCACTTGATCACTCCACCACCCCGCTCCGTCAAAATCGGTACGTGAGTTATCCTATTGATTAGTCGATTCGCACTGAAACGCTCGGACGACGCTTGATTGTCTGTCCCATTGCGCTGGTACGGGGCTGGGGCTATGCTCGCATTTAATCGACCCACTGAGAAATTGAATCAATCACCGGTCATGAGGTCAGAGCTACATTGTAGTGGCAATCTATTAGTCGAATCTGTTGTGGTCGATTCGAACCGGCACCAAATAGCGTTTGTTACATTCAGAAAAACATTTCGACTAGGGGGAACTAGTATTGTTCTATTGTGGGGAAAAGAAAGCGACTGAAATGAAGAACGTTTCTGCATCGAGAGTATTTATTTTCTAGCCACTCTAACGTAACCAACGTGTTCGTTCCTGTGTAATTTTCATATGGTCTGCCTTCAAACTCTGCGTGATCCTACTGAGTTCGAGATAGCCCAGCCGTAAGTTGACAAGGCTGGTATGAACCAGTCCTCGAAGGTCAAGTGAACACAAACAAAGAACGAATCACACGAGAGTTGGTGGATTAAACCGAGGCCTAGGTTACTGTTCGAAAGGAAGAGATCATTTAGTTTTCTGGTAAAGTGATTTTGGTTGGTATCTCGTGTTGCTTCCTTATTTCTCGTTTTCCAGGTCAAACGCGTCAGAATCTCATTTCGGCTTCGTTTATACGTCTCAGCTAGTGGAATAAACCTGCATAATCTTCGCCAAGTGACCCGAACACCCCCCTAAAAAAAAACGCTGTCACTAATCTGTATGAGAACTGGTTAGTTGTGACGGCACAGTTCTGGGACACATTCCTCATTCACTTCTACATCCACAGCCTCCTTTGTGAAGTTCGTCCATACCGCGACAAAATGTAGGTGCACTAAGGCCCCCGAAAATCCTTCGGAGCATATATACCACGTCCCCAGAAGGAAACTCGGGAGTCTACATGTCATCAAGCTGTCCCGCCTAAGCAGGACCAATCGAGATGCCGGATTCGGCTGCGAATCATGAACGTTGCGGTCCATGAGCTATTTCGGGACCGGTCTTCGAGAAATGACAGATCGGTTTCTTGTATATACTTCAAACTAACATTCGATGTACAGATGATAAATTCCGTGAGTGCTATCACATGACAAATGAGGCCAGGTGAGTATCAGTCTTGAAAAAAACGGATGGGTAGCTGGTGGGACTAATACTTTTTGAGTTTTGAGCTGAATGAACAGGTTTTGAGCTATTTGGAAACCAGTGAAAAATATGGATTTGTTCCTTATTTCTAGGGTCGCTAGATTGATGATGGTTTTTTGACAGGAAAATCATCTTCGGTGGAGCAAAGTTATGGACTTCGTAGGGCTAGGAACGATAGGAAATCATGTGAAAATGTGGCACAAAATACCCACCGTAGTGCTGTTAATGGAGTGCCCTATCATTTGGGTTCGGTAAATTCCACACGGAGGATCTCATCGGATGAACAAACTGTTGTGTCGCAGGAGACAAGCCTGTACCTACGATGAATACTTCACAACGAAATTCTGACTTTCCCCCATGGCCCAGTAACTGGTTGTCTGATTTTGCCTGATTATATCTTTCGGTTTACCTTATTTCATTTAGAATGACTTTTCACCACCTTCATGAGTACACCTGCTGTATAGACGCCACGACTTTGCGTTCCGTAATTTCACTTTTCGAAATGCAATTCGAACCAGTGTTTCAGTTGCGGTTCCCTCCATGAGGATGACTGTAATCGAAGCTGAACCGAACCGGGGAAATAAATCGTTGACTAAACCTAGACAGGATCGATAAAAAGCTAGATATCGGTTCGAAACAAGCACATCCCCGTCACAGCCTGCTCTATTCCCAAACACCGACACTTTTGGAGTCTCACTGCATGTGGATTTTGTGATATAGTTTACCTTCGTCCCCGTGCAAAGGCTTCCATACAGAGCGCACTTTGACATGATTCTTGTATAGTCCTCCAGATTATCCTGGAAAACATTCGTGATTGCCAGAACAGGTCGTTCTGGCGAGTCGGAGTTTGCATTTAATACAGCTAAGAGTAACAGTTAACTCTAGTAAGAGCAGTTCAAGAACTGGACACTTCGCCAACACACGTTTGAAGTGATCGATGTGAATATTACCTCGATTGATTCTGTGAGAAATATTATTCGCAGACGGCTTATGCCAGATCATCTGGGCCACAGTGGGCCGTCGGTAGCTGAACACTTTATCCGACATTTTTGACACTGATGCGTTTCTACGGCACAAATAAGGTCTGTACAAACCACCTCGGGTAGTCGCGACGCAATGCTCATAGGCGCAAGCGCGCACTATTGGATTGAGTGCTGTTTCTATTCGTGTCCATTCACATGTTCCTAAATTTTGCGTCATTTTCGGTATATCTTGAGAAGCGAAAAGCGCACTGATATGCTATTCAGTTTGTTTGGTCTCTAGTGATCACGCTGGAAGCTCTGGGAACAATTGATCTGTAAGCTTCTGCATACGTTCTACTGATGTTACATTTTCTCACAAATGGCATTACTATTTCGATTGGCGATGGGTATGCTACCATTGACTTTGAGTTGCAGTTATTCAAAAGCGTGAAATGAGAACGAGAGTTTTGGTTTCACTATGGGTTTAGTTCGATTCAGTAAGCACCATATTATAAATTCTATCGAATTCCTCCAAATATAGTACAGTATTGCGAAAGGCACAGCAAAACCGAAACTCAGTTTCAAATGAGACAGCTACAGTATCCTTAGCCTGGACAAGGCAAAATTCACTCCATATATTTAGATTGATTGTATTTTCAGACCTCGGTTGTTGTTTTGATCTGTGAGAAAATCCACCGATATCTGTCTAGCATGAAAAAAATCTCAAATACAGAAGATTTAAAGTCAGTTGCATCCTTGCAGCAAAATCATCACTTTTACCACTGAAAAGATGGCAGACCAGAGTGATCAAGGCTTACGCACGTTGTGATCTAGAGGTATTTGTCATTGCGCGTACTCACCTCCTGTCATCTGCCTCCAAAAAATGACTGTTGCACCCTCCACTATGCCTCCGTTTACACCGTCTACCGTCACCGATTAACCTATTGCCCCACGACCTCTGCCCCACACACCATGAGTCTCTGGCTCGATTGGCTAGACATGGACTACCACATCGATCGCTGCCAACCCACTGATTGTGACCCGGAAGTTGGACAAATTGGTCCGGTTTAGGATGTTGCGAACAGGACCAATCAAAAGCGAGCAGTCATGATGGTGACCTTGGGCCCACGTACAGAGGCGCCAGTCGACCAACTCGACCAGCAGCCCGGTCGCATGCTTGCAACCACTTAAGTGACCGGTGAGCCGGACCCCACGTGAACAAAAATGATCGAAGGCGCGAAGATACCGCACGCTAGACAGCGTCAATAAATGAAGAAAGATTAGTCAGGCAACTTAGCCCTGCGCGACCATACACATGATATTCCGGGAAATGACCAAAATTTTCTGCCTCACCAAATTCTACAGAAATGTGGAAATAAACATGCCACGTAATTTAATCACCAATTAGTTTCCTGTTCTAATAACTTCACTGGACTTGGGCAGCGGACATCGTCATGCCTGAACACCTGCTTAACGGGATTGCCAAACATTTAGACAACGTCTTGGGTCAGCATAATTTTGTATCCGGAACGGTACTTGGGAGCGACAGAATATTGCACACGTTAATCGTTGACTGCACAATCATGCGAAGTTCTCTGTGGACAAAAAGTTGACGAATGCTGTGATCAAACTCATTGGCACCGGCTAAGACTCAGAGATGTACGGAACTAATCTTATGAAGTGACGACTGATTGGATATGGCGAAAATAATCGCTCGTCTTGCAGACGTCGTGTCAAACCGGTTATTTTTCACGATACGAAAGATGTTGCACCGAAGTTTTTGCATTAATGCCTTACCATGGGGGCGACCACCTCGTCACTCTTGGCCTGCTTTCGACAAAGCATTTCATACATCTGCTACCCTCCTCAGTTTGTCCCGGCATTACTAACACAGCCTAGTATTCCACTCAGACGTGATCGTGTGTCGCGCAAAATTAGCTTTACTGTTGCGGTCAAATCTGGCTGTAGAATTTATCGGTGGGGATCGAGTAAACCAATGCCTTGCATACGTCACTGTTCAGCGCCTGACATCGCATGGAACCAAACAAGCGGTGGTATGACTGTTCTCAGATAGTTATGCCAGCCTAACAGCCTGACAGCTTAGTACTAACCATGCGTCGACCTTCGTATCATCTTGTGGTTTTCTCAGATAACGAGAAGGTAAGTTAAACTCAGATTTGTGAGGGGAAGTCGCCTGTTGCACTATGCACGTAACCTACTCTTCTCTGAATGTATAGACAATCTATAGACTGGAAATGATTACGAGAGAGGGGCTTCATACCACCTGTTTACAGTTGAATAGAATCGCGTTTCCGAATCCTTGCATTTCGACTGGACTGGGATGGGTGCACGGGTCATCGCGCAACTAAAGACAGGCAACAGTGCTTGCCTATTTTACATCTTGAGTGATAACTGTTACCTGTGGACACTAGATTAAACAATGCGGTTGCTGACTGTTCCGAGTAAAAACTTTTTTCGGACAATGTAATTATCGGTCATTATGAATAAATACGCTAATAAATTGCGTCTTACTTGTATTGCATATGTTAATTAACTATTTCATCATGTCCATTGACAACAACATCCGATGAGAATATTGATGCTCCACTGAATAAAGCCTTACAATACAAAGGAAGGAGAAACGGGAGTGGAGATGGGACCT